TCAAGGCCCCCCCTTTACCAGATTTTTTTTTCCCAAGGGGGTTTTTTTTTTTTGGAAATGGGGGGGGGGGGGGGGTCCTTTTCTTGGCCCAAGATTTTTTTGGGTTGCTTACGTGGAGCAAAATGGCAAATTATCACAGCCCAAATTCTCACAGCCCGAATATTTCCAAGGATTCCGGCCGGCCTGTTAGAAAATTGGCCAATTTCTAACAGCGATCGGGTTGGAATATCGCTGTTAGAAATGGGGGGGGGGGTCACCCCCTGGTCACACCCCGATCGTGCCTGAACGAGGAACGACACCGTCTGCTGGCCAAACAGAGGCCAGTTTCATGAGGTCTTGCACAGACCCTCTGCTGGTATCTAAAATTGAGGGCGTTCTGCGCGGTGTTGGCCGCACACGAGCCGAAAGCGTCAACCCTGCCACGTTGCTCTGCTGACGTTCTTGCAGCTTTCGGCTGAAAAGAGCGTTTTTTTCGCCTGCTGCATGTGTGACCCCCAGTTGACACAACGATCACGCCAGAGAGAGGCTTTAGGCCGTCGACATCCCCAAACTGCAGCTAATGGCGTGTGGTCATACACATACCCTCGGCTCGCGTCCCAGAAACAGATCGTATTGTCCAGTTTTGAGTACACACGGCCACCAAACGTGGACCAAAGTGTGTTTCGGTGTGGAATTTTTGGACTTTTTCTTGTTCCGCCGCGTGTGCGCTCCGTGTGTCACCCGCTACCAGTCAAAAACGTATGCCAGAGGGAGGCTTTAGGCCGATGAGTCATCCACAAACTGCAGGCAATGACGTGTGGTCGTACACATACCCTCTGCTCGCGTCCCAGAAACACATCGTATTGTCCAGTTTTGAGTACACACGGCCACCAAACGTGGACCAAAGTGTGTTTCGGTGTGGAATTTTTGGACTTTTTCTTGTTCCGCCGCGTGTGCGCTCCGTGTGTCACCCGCTACCAGTCAAAAACGTATGCCAGAGGGAGGCTTTAGGCCGATGAGTCATCCACAAACTGCAGGCAATGACGTGTGGTCGTACACATACCCTCTGCTCGCGTCCCAGAAACACATCGTATTGTCCAGTTTTGATTGCACACCTGCAAACGTGAACCAGTGTGTGTATCGGTGTTGACGTTTTTGGACGTTGCTTTTTTCCTGGTTGCTGCGAGTGTGATCAGTCCACAACACATGCCAGAGAGAGGCCATTGGCCGACGACATCCACAAACTGCAGCCGATAGCGTGGGATAATCCACGTGCCCTCTGTAGGTGACCCACAAACAGGACGCTCGGTGTCTTGTTGGTCGCACTCGAGCCAAAACCGTGAACTGAAGCATGTTGTGAACCCGCAAAAACTTGAATCGGCCCTTTTTTTCCCCTGAGAAAAAACTCCTGTCTCGAGGAACCGTAAGGTCGCTTGTATCTGGATATTTTTTCCCGTGCAGACCACCCCCCCCCCCGAGAGAGAGAAAAAAAATCTGCGAAAAAATCAGTGCACATGCAACCGCCTCATCAAGACGGGTACATACATCAATATATCAAGACACACTCAGAAATCAAACTTGGGGTGGGGGGTGGGGGGTGAGGGGCACATATATCCACAGAGACCTCGAGACCCCCGGGTTTTGTGCTGAGGCGATTTCGCTGAGGCGTGTGCTGCTTCATTTTCTGTGTTTGCGTCTGTTATGTGGGCCTGCCTGGAGACCGCCGAGAGATGGCGAGGCGGACACCGCGCGACCCCCTCCAGGCTTGTCTTCGGAAGAGTTTCGTGTAGGCCTCCGGATGAAATTTCTGGAGCAGGCCCAAACTACTTCCGAGGGCCAACTCTGGAAAGGGGGGGATACTAAATAAACCAACTCCGGCAATGCCATGTACTTTGATCAGGGGACGTTCGGTCGTCATCCCCGGACTACAGGGGGGAGACATTGCATTTCCATCCCTGACGGGGCTCCCTATACTTACTGCTAATTGGGATAGAGAGCCAAAGAGCCAAACATTTTCGGTGCAAGAACCTAGTTTCTACAAGCAAAGAGAGGCACACCGGTGTGTCGACGAAGCAAACAATAATTTTCCTCGTGAGGTGGGACATCACATTGCCTGCGCATGAACTAACTGGCTTTCAGCACATGCGAGTCTACCCACACTATGACCGCACACTGCACCACGCCCGCCCGAAACCCCTTGAAGTGCCATGGGGGGCGTTGGCCCCGGAGGGTTTCTGAAGTCAATGTCGCGAATTTTGAACGAGAAAGCCGCCGGTATACGTCTTGAATTCGAGTCCCGCCAAGGGCTTTTTCAGCATTTTTCCTATCTTTTTTTCTCATCCGTGGGTCACCATGGGCACCGAACATTTTTATTTCGAATCCAAGCTAAAACTGATAATTAACGTAGATACGTTACCGACCCTGCATATCTGCGTTCATGTCTAGCGCTGGTACGTTGGTTGTGGATCAAACAAGCAGGCGTTCCCCTGGGAAAAAAATCATGGACCTGGCTTAGCGTGTTGTTGATGTAATCGGTTTGGAGTGAAAGCGAGTGCCATCGCCACTCTTTTCGCTCGAAGGCACTCCACGGGGTTTTGGTTGTGGTTTACTGTGCGGTCACAGTGCAGGGTGACTCGCTTCGCTCGAAGGCACTTGACGGGGTTTCGGGTGTGGTACAGTATGCCGTCACAGAGCTGAGTGACTCGCTTCGGTGCCTTCGAGCGAAACGATGCCACTCGCCTTCACTCCAAACCGATTACATCAACAACACGCTAAGCCAGGTCCATGATTTTTTTCCCAGGGGAACGCCTGCTTGTTTGATCCACAACCAACGTACCAGCGCTAGACATGAACGCAGATATGCAGGTAACGTATCTACGTTAATTATCAGTTTTAGTTTGGATTCGAAAAAAAAAATGTTGGGTGCCCACGGTGACCCACGGATGAGAAAAAAAAATGGAAAAATGCTGAAAAAGCCCTTGGCGGGACTCGAATTCAAGACGTAACACCGGTGGCCTTCTCGTTCAAAATTCGCGATGTTGACTACAGAAACCCTCTGGGGCCGCCTGTCGTCGGGCCTGTAGGCTAATGGATAAGCCGCCACGCTTCTAACGTGGATATTGCGAGTTCGAGTCTCGCCAGGCCTGCTTATCCTGCTCCGGAATTTTTTTTCCAACATAAATGAGAAATGAAGAGTTTCTTTTTTCCTTCTTCAACGAAGACCTTTGATGTACATGCTTGTTTTTCCGTGTTGTTCGTGTTGTCTTCACATTGAACTCTCTCTGCCCAGCTACGTACGTTCGTCTGTCTGGATTGCTCTAGATGCTTGACGCGGTCGGTTCCCATGGTCTCAGGCTAACTTACCCCAAAACAGGTGTTAATATAAATATGAATGGACACGAAATGGACCCGAAGGGTCCGCATGTCAGTACCAGAAATCAACTAGGACCTTCCGTTCGCCGCTACACGCTTGTGCGAGGTAAACACAGACCGGAAGAAAAATAAAAAGAGAAACAGAAACAGAAACAGAGAGGCAAAGAGAAATACACATGCCACAACCACGAAAAAGGAAAGAGGGCCACCCCAGACAGCAAAGGCACGTCACCGCTGGGGGGGGGTTATCAGTCAATCAAGGGGTTCGATGCGGCGCAACATGTCGCGCCACTCGGTCCGCGTCTTCTCGTTTGCTTTCTTCCCTCGCCGTCTCGTCCGTCTGCTGCCCCCCTCCCGCCCCACCCGTTGGTTGCTGCCATGTCCTTGCTGTTGCCGGGCTTGTTGTTTCGTTTGAGCGCTCTTTGCCGGCAAGCCTCCTCATCATCCTTGTGCCAGGAGGTTATGAACCTCTTAGCTCCCTGCAGTACCCCCGTATGCCGCGGTACACCCCGCTCCACGTTCGCTGCTTCCGTCCAGGTTGTTTGCGGGACTGCGAAGATACATGGCTCGCGGCGTCCGTAGATCCGCGCTCTGCCTCGAACATCTTGAGGTCGTCCTTCAGGCACATCTGCCGGTTTCCAGCCTGCGCCCCCCCCCCCCCCCCCCCACTCGCCAAAGGTGAAACCTTTTGGGAATCCCCCCGTTGGGTACCCCCCCCAAACCCCCCCCAAAAAGAGGGACCCTTTCCCAAAAATGGGGGGGAACAAAACCCCCGGGTTCCGCCCCCGGAGTTTTTTTTAACTTTGAGGTTTTTTTTTTCCTTTTTTTCCAAAAAATTTGGCTGGATGTTTATTTTGGGAAATTTTTTGGAAAAAAAAAATTTTCCCCGGCCCCCCACAAAAAAAATGGAC